AAGTCATTGGTCTTGCAAAATTCTACCATGCGATTTCCAGCATTATTTCTGTCATCAAGGCCAAATTTTCCAACTACCAGTGATTCTTCTTTGTTTCCAACTTTTGCATTCCAGTCACCAGTGATAATTAACACATCCTGATTGCATGTACAGTCAATTTCAGACTGCAGAAGTTGGTAAAAATCTTCAGTTTCCTTGTTTTTGCCTATAGTGGTTGGTGCATAAATTTGAATAATAGTCATATTAATTGGTCTTCCTTGTAGGTGTATGGATATTATCCTATCACTGACAGCATCGTACTTCAGGATAGATCTTGAAACATCTTTTGTGACAACAAATGCTCGCCATTCCTCTTCAATTTGTCATTCCTGGCATAATAGTTCGTATGATTGATTCAAAATGGCCAATGCCAATCTGTTTCAGCTCACTAATGCCTAGGATATTGATCTTTATGTGCTCCATTACATTTTTGACAACTTCCAATTTTCCTACATTCATACTTCGTACATCCCATATTCCAATTATTAATGTATGTTTGATGATCTTTCTTCCCATTTTGAGTCATGCCTATCAGTAAATGGAGGTCCTGAAAGCTTTACTCCATCTGCATCATTAAAGTCGACTCTACTTTGAGGAGGGAGCTCTTCTCCAGTCATATTTTGAGTGCTTTCCAACTTGAGGGACTCATCTTCTGGCATTATATCAGACAATGTTTCAGGGCTATTCATAAAATTTTCTAGTAATATGTCAGTGTTTCACTGCTATTCATAAGGTTTTCACTGGCCAATTCTTTGAGAAGTGGATGGCCCCTTCCTTCTTCAGAGTCTGTCTTAGTCTGGAAGCTCTGCTGAAACCTGTCCACCATGGGTCACCCTGCTGGTATTTGAAATACTGGTGGCATAGCTTCCAGCCTCATAGCAAAACAAGCCACCACAGTATGACAAACTGAAAGCTGAGTGAGAGAGACTAAAGTATCTCTACTGAGTTCCCATGGCCCTCAACCTACTGGCTAAAGTCTGAATTCTTTAGCCTAACTTTTACAGTCTTTCATGATTGGACAAGGGTCCGCCTTCCAACTTCATCTCCCATCATCTCTTCTTCAAACCTCATGATCCAGTCCCTTGAATGCTTAGCATATGCAAATATATAGTCTCATATAGCCCTCACAACAACTCTTTGAAGTAGATATTCTTATTCCCATTTTATAGATGAAAAAAGTGAGGCTCAGAAAGGTTTGATAACTTATCTAAATTTACATATCCAGTAAGGTACACAACTGAGCCATGATTTGTCTCATGAGTAGCTACAAAGTCATCTTTTCCCACAGGCCATGGATCTATTCATAATAAAGAGCCATCTTCTGGGAAGAAGTCATGAACACCTTGGCTCTGAGCTACCTTGGAGGAGTGTCTCTCATTGTCCTTGGTTCTATGTATCACAGTCAATTGTGTGAATATCTGCCTTCATCCCAGGATTGTAAAGGCCTCAAGGGACCCAAACAGACAGATACATATTAGCTAAATGACATCATAGTGGGAATAAAGCAACTCCATTCTGCAGTGGGGAAGAAACTGAGGCACAAAGAAGTGAACTAACTCATTTGCCCAAGGTCCCACAGTGACAGAGTCATGTCATATGACTCCAAAACACTTTTTTAGTCCACTAAAGACATCTACATCCATTGGATGGGACTGAAATGACTGGTCCTGTGATACAGGCTACTGCCCATAAAGACCCCACAATCATACTACTTCCAGGGACTGCAGCTGAAGTCTAACCACCCATAGCAAGAACAGGGCACCTATAAAATCTATTCTGTATTCCTTTCTCACTCCAGATGGGCCTGTCACAATCTGCCACTCCCCTCACCTGGAGACCACCAGTGGAAGGATCAGCATCTTCAACATCCTCATCAAGAGCTCTCCAGGGAACTGGAAGTAACTAATCTCCTGAAAACATAGCAAGAGCTGGGGTTAAGGCAGGCAATAAAGATTTTACAGCTGCTTAATTCTTTACACTCTTCAAAGCACTCTCACACCCGCTCAGTGTCTAGCACATAGACAACAAAGTCAATGGAGAAAGCATTGGCTTTGGGGTTAAACAAACCTGGATTCCAATCCTGGCTCTCCTCATTGCTTAAGGTGTGTCATTAAGCAAGTTACTTGACCTCTCTGAGCTTGTTTTCTCATCTATAACATCAGGATATTAACTATCCTATAGGACCATTGTTGTTGTGTATTGTCAAGTTGATTCCAACTCATAGCAACCCTATAGAACAGAGCAAAACTGACTCATAGAGTTTCCTAGGCTGTAATCTTTATGAGAGCTGATTGCCAAGTATTTTCTCCCGTGGAGTAGCTGGTGGGTTTGAACTGCTGACCTTTTGGTTAGCAGCTGAATGCCTTAACCACTGTACCACCAGAGCTCCTAGTAGGATCATTAGGAGGCTTAAATGAGAGAATGTACCTAAAGAACTTAGCATACTGCCTGTTGAGAGTAAATGTTGAGTAATCACAGTAAATAACAGCCCCCCAACCCCACTGGAAGAAGAATCATTAACAACCTGAGATATGCAGACGATACAACTTTGCTTGCTGAAAGTGAGGATGACTTGAGGCACCTACT